TTTAGTTTCACGTAAGGTATAAGTTATTGCTAGTTTGGGTGTCAACACTTGGGCTAGGCATGCTTTGGTTGAATTCCGAAGATCATCACATGCAATCTCGGATAATCTGGTCGCCTGAGATTTTATAAACAGCTTCGGTTTGCGCACCCGGGCAGTATCACAGCCCTCACACACATCAAATGAGATTTGTGTGGCGCATGCGGCTTATTTACCTGATGGGAGATTTCTAGCTGTGTTTAACAGCTCAATCGTCTCGAGGATCAGCAGGCATTTGGTAGAGCAGCATGCACTGCATAGCCAACGTAGTAGTGGTTTGCAATACCTTTAAAATGCAGTCGATGTGTCCTGTGCACACATGATACTACTTGTTGGGGGTATCATATTACATTCAATCCTCGACTAGAAAGAAACATGGGTTGCCGCACCGATGTTTTGTTGGGGCTATTTAATTTGTTAATTGGACACAGAGAACAAAGAAATTTGTCAGCACCGGAAATAGCAAAAGCAAAAATCATTTATGGATAATGTCCTGAAAATTCTAAAAATGATGGACACTGAACATCAAAAAGTTTTTTATGTCGTACTCAAAAAATGAGTACGGAAAACCTGCTATACAAGTGAACTGGTTGGTCCACTAAACGAGAGCCGCTTGATAAATCTTTTTTTCTGCACTGACAATATGAGTACAATCCAATGAACTAATGTTAAACTGACATTATCGAGTAGTCTATTACTAGTAGCTCAATATTTAGTTTAAGTAAGTATTAAAGTAGCTTTCACATTTTAGGACATAATCGAAATTCTATGATTTACTCAGCAAGGAAAAAGTACCACCTTTTATTAGGGGAAAATGACCCATGTAACAGGCATAGTCGTGTGAGCGAAAATATATCAAGTAGAGGGAAGTATGACAAGAACTGCTACAATGAGTAGATAAAAAGCATATGTTCTCAACCAGTTTGAATGTAATATATGGGAATATATTCATTGTCACTGAGAAACGTGTTCATCCCTCATAGGGTTCTGCAGTTAAATGGGATAAAAACTACGAGTTAAACTTTAAAAACTAGCATGGCAGAACTGGCAAACTATTATTTTCCTGGAATCTTCGTCCGGGCGGTTGTAAAGCGTTTTTGGTAGTTAAGACATGGTTATCATTTTTCTGAAAATGACAGTTAAAACAAGTCAATTATTAATAATGAAAGTGGCCGTGGAGTAATTCTTAAAGTAATCGCTCTTAGTCTCTACGGAAATAGAGTAAACATCGAGTTTTCTCGCGACTCTATAGAAGTTGCTGTTATTATTTTCTCTAGTAGGGACTTCTACTGTTTGCTGATCCTAACCACTGGAAAGCTTGCACAGATTTCTGTATGAGTTCGTTTATATTCTTTTTATAAATGGATATCCTCTTAGGTGTAATTTATTACTAAGATGAATCGTTGGTCTGTTATGGTGAAGAGGACCATGAGGAAATTATACATCTGAAAATTATTCCCCCTAATTCTTTTGTACTGCACAGGTTGGAAGCTTGGGATTTCCTGCAGATCTGCGTATGGATTTTTTTTAGTCAGAGCACCTTTGTAGTTGCTGTTCTTGGAACGCTTTCGAAACGAACACTATGCTTCTTAAAGTAGGAGGATAACGCAGAATTTTTCTCCAGATGAAGTTTGAAGTAAACACTGAAATTAGTTCTCAATGGTTCCGAGACTAGGTTTCCCAATGTTCTGGAAAGAAACTTAAGGACAGAATATGACTTGTTAGCTGGAGAATGCCAAAGGGAATGGAAATTGGGGTACCACACAGTGTTGTCCCAGTCATTTTACTATGGTAAGGTGTGTGATGCATCTATCACCCAAGAATTACTAGGTGGATAGAGTGTCTGTTGGCAATGGGAAGTCTCCAAATACAACTTGTGAGAAAAAAATTAATATCGATTCAAGCTGAATTTAGTGTGAATATTAAGTCAACTTTCAATACATTTTCTCATTACTTTGTAGGCATCCAATGTATTTTCACTATGATTTCTGTTCATTGACAATGTATTAGTTTATTAATTATGACCGATTTAATAGATATATAGATCATTAACCTAAATGTATTTTCTATTAGGAAGTTGAAGTTTTTACTCTAGTTAATGTTGCATGGAAGACACGAATAAAAGTATTTTCGTTCGTCATATTAACAACAGAGTTGACAATTAGTAGACCAGCACACGCATCTGTCAGTATCAACATTGTTCATCTTTAACATTCTAAATCTGTTGGTACTGGTAAGAAGGTGGTTTATGTTCCTCAGTTCGGGTTTTTCTGAAAAACTATGGTTTTCAATTATTGTTATTATTATAAAATTTAATGTTCTGCTTACTAGAACTAATCCTAGTTGCTGAGAATTGCATATTTTACGGAGTATATAGGACTAAACAAAACAGTTATTAGTAATATTACTATTAAAGCACCCCAAAATAGTTGCGTGTGATTTGTCATTCAAATTTTTTTCTGATCTAATATAATATTTGTTAATCTTTTCACTCATATCGTGAAAAGGAGCTTGTATAGTGAGACCGTAATTTTCCCCGGATCTTTTTTTACGGTGACAGTACCCATTACAAATTGATGAATGCAGTTAGGCATAGGAACCATGACAAGCCAGTGTTACTCCTCACATTCTTGTAAAGTTTACAGGTATGGACACTCCTTTTTGTGCCATTTTATATAGGATAAATCTAAGGACTTGCTTTAGTCGGATAATGTGAGCCCTAGCATATTTTAGTGACTTTTTCGAGTTATTATACATTAGTCTATCTGTCTTTGTCATCTGAAGCGCAAATTAATTGTTAACTATATAAGAAGTCTTAAGAATTTACTTCTGGGTCGTTATTGTTGAAGAATTTTCGAATAGTCTGATAGTTATTTTACTCCCGGGAGTAAAGTAGACATTCTTACATCACCTGTGTTCAGATTGTTTTATACTAAAGCTTACCATCTGACTTTACAATCTGTGGGTCGTTTGACAAGTCATTTCTTAAGAAATCATTTCATAGACGTATTATTTACTGGATCGAATCCTCCATAAGATTAAATAAAAATAAGAGTTCCACTACTTACAACAGTCTAGATGATAGACCGCAAAATCATATCGGTTAAACACTAATGAAAACATAATTTATATATGAAGGCCTTAATATATACTGGCATGTAACTAATGTGAAGTACAGTTGATTCCATGTTGAAATTTCTAATCTTTGAGTACGATTTATTTGTAAAACGCTTAGGCGTTCTTAAAATGATTTTCTGAATATATATAGTTATAACGCTCGCGATTTACTTCGTCTATTTTTATAACGGTTGGGTTTCCACGTTACACGTATGGGACGTTGATTTACTTTAAACGATTATCTACACCAGACCCCTCCCAGTGTCTACTCTACAGGACGTCAACACAACTAAGATCAAGAACATGTAATTAGTCTGACCACAACGTTAATATATTCCCACACCAAAACCCGTCACAATCCACAACAATGAACAAACAATAATAAGTGTGTTGCAATGATAAGAATAAAGGAATATATAACTTATCTGACACATGTCAGACTATCTACATGTCTGACTAAGCAGACAACCAATCATGATCATACTCGACCACACATCACCTCACTCACGAAGTTTGATCGTATGACTTTAGTTTTGGGTCTATTTAAAAAGATTTCGCTTGTTTTCGTTCCCTGGACGATCTTCGCCTTGCTTCTGGTTCCAGCTCATTTTTTCTCATTACAACTTGTAGTGACGGTGGGATATTAAATGTATCACATAATACTTCCAATGGTAAAGCTTTGGGTTTAGATGACTCAAACATTTTTTCTGTCTCGCAGTTGATTGGTGTGTCTAATAATTAGTGTATTTTCGACCATCACTTCATACAGTACGGCCCTACGTCTTTTTTTAATACATCCAAAAATCCATCTGTATTAAAAAAAGACGTAGGGCCGTACTGTATGAAGTGATGGTCGAAAATACACTAATTATTAGACACACCAATCAACTGCGAGACAGAAAAAATGTTTGAGTCATCTAAACCCAAAGCTTTACCAATGGAAGTATTATGTGATACATTTAATATCCCACCGTCACTACAAGTTGTAATGAGAAAAAATGAGCTGGAACCAGAAGCAAGGCGAAGATCGTCCAGGGAACGAAAACAAGCGAAATCTTTTTAAATAGACCCAAAACTAAAGTCATACGATCAAACTTCGTGAGTGAGGTGATGTGTGGTCGAGTATGATCATGATTGGTTGTCTGCTTAGTCAGACATGTAGATAGTCTGACATGTGTCAGATAAGTTATATATTCCTTTATTCTTATCATTGCAACACACTTATTATTGTTTGTTCATTGTTGTGGATTGTGACGGGTTTTGGTGTGGGAATATATTAACGTTGTGGTCAGACTAATTACATGTTCTTGATCTTAGTTGTGTTGACGTCCTGTAGAGTAGACACTGGGAGGGGTCTGGTGTAGATAATCGTTTAAAGTAAATCAACGTCCCATACGTGTAACGTGGAAACCCAACCGTTATAAAAATAGACGAAGTAAATCGCGAGCGTTATAACATTCATTCCCGTATGTTCTATAGAGTGAAGCATAAAATTAAAGTGTTCATAATACTAATTGTATATACTATATAGTGTAGCTGAATTTCATTTCTTTGCATTTTCCCAAATGTTGCAAACTTTCTAGTTGATTGGAAAGACACTCGACTCTGTATTGTTACATGTCTCCGTGACGTCATAAATTCTGCGTGTTGATTTCTACAGTCTGGTATTTTAAGTGAAATTAAACATTTCTCTAAACAATAGTAGTTGGTCTAAATGAATTTGAACACTCTTCCTGTTCAATCGTTTATTTAGTTTTCAGTTTCATATTTTCCATTAACTTGCGTTTAAATATATTTTGTATATATTGGTTTGACATCGCAAAAGTTAGACTTCACACTTTCAGTGTATGGAAGAAAAAAGCAATTCAAGTGTTTCCGTGGCCTCCTTATCAAAAGATGTAAAGAGTTGGAAATATCGTAACAACCATTCCAAGTTTATCACCTCAACTCCGATTAATTGTCAAAATCATCGGAATATTTCATCCGTAAAACAGGTGAGACCTTGTAGTCGATTCTAAAAGCAGTGTTAAATAAATGTTTTGTCACTAAATGTGATTTATTAACCCCTTTACATCCTCGTTTAAGGGCGTATGTTGAGCTTTTTTCTGAGATGATAATAGATAGAGTTCTTCCAGAGGTGTCTAGCATTCATTTTTTAAGCTAATTCTGCGTAGTGCAGATCCGTGTACTTGATATCCAAACACACTCTAAGGGCAGAGAGGTTGTCAAGATTCTAATTCTTATGGAAAGCTGCATTGATAAGTAGCATCGTAACTACTCATTGATGTAATCGGCTCAACAATAACATGGAATGTTCAATAAGATTATTCAGATGCAACATTATGAATTAAAGTATGTAGAAGGAAAATATCCACTTGGTCTTTCAACAGCCTAAAGTGTTGGCACATGATTGAGACAGTATCTTATGCTATTTCAAAGTGACGTATCATCTTGAGTACATTTAAAGAGAGGAAAGTTCAAAAACCTGAAGGGTAGAAGGAGGTTTAGTATAAAATGCTATAATGATGAAATTGTTCGATGTCTATTTCAGGTCTGGTCTGGAAAACCGATACGTTGAGATCCAGGCATATCTAACTGACAATTCTGTAATGGAAAAAAATATGTGTTCTGAACCCCACTGGAAATAATATTGAGGTATGCAATGGTGAATAACTAAATCACTGTACTTTTCCCCAAATTTCAATGCTTATTCAATCAACATGCTAATTTCTGTTGTCGCTGAAATACGTCATGCATAACTCCACACTCAAGTTACAGCAGTAAAAAAAAAATTCATTTTGGTAATGAAATGATTTGAAGAAAATTCTCAAGTCAGCTAAAAATTTAAAGCTTAAATAAGATGATACACTGTTTAGGAAAAAAGTAGATAAGTCTCCAATTGCCGGTTTTATTCGCCTTACGTAAACCAAACACAAAGCTTACACTTCTGTGTACAAATCAAATCGCTAATGAGTGACTTTGACTTAACATGTGTGTATATTAAATTCAAATGACAAAAACAGAATTCTATTTTCGGTTTTTTTCTGTCATGTTTTCGATCTCTAAATGAACTACTAGTATGTATTGCTAAAATGCCCCATTCTAGAACTGAACACTCGTTCAATACTATTCAGTTTGGATTATCGTTTTGATTAATATAGGTGTCATTAAGAGAATAGCTGCATTAGATTTGTTAACTTCGTAGAACTGTCAAATTCTAAAACAATGTGTTGTTTATTCTTTTTTAATTTAACACTTAGGAATCGAAGATCTCGTTTTCAATAAATGAACGCCTAACAGATTTATTAAATAAAATTCTTCCTTTAAAAAAGAAATGGAGCACAAATTTCCATCAGTCATGTATTGTTTTCACAAATCTGGCTACAAATATTTGTAAAATCCTATCAGGTAAGTTCGAACACATAATTATTCCTTTTTGAATCATGCCTTTGTACTAGACGTAAGTATTCTTGTCCTAACCTAATTAAAATCTTTACAGTTTAAAAGTTTCCGATGTTTCCAGTAGGTTCTGACCGTTTTGACATGAGACTTCGTTTACGTCAATCCACATCAATATTCCTCGGAACCCGTGGTAGGAGTTCATGGGTTTGGCAGCCATATCTTCCCGATTCATCCTTAAATTAAGGTCATATTTAAGTTTTAAAATTATCGGTAAAATTGATGTGACTTACGTTGGCATCGTTTATCCCTTTATGACGTTACATTGGTCGCAAAAGTTCTGAGTAACTAGTTCTACATAAAGGCAACACTTTGCCTCATAGTTAGATTGAATAAAATCAAAAGCCACGCATCTTGCCTTTTTAAGTCGACAATGTGATCATATAGAGCCCTGACTACGATGTCGGAGAATTTCAAAATGGTATAATACTCAGCAAGTAACCTATAATAATCAGTGAAGATTTGATTAGCTACTGGATGTGAATGAACAAACAGTTTGTTAACTCCTTAAATATGTGATTTCTTTCCTATCATTGCTTTCTACTCTTTACTTGTTGAATGTAGACTGCTTGTGTGTTGAGTAAAATATACTGCAATCAATCATAGAGAAATGCCCAAGAAAGGACCTAACTATTCTGATGGGAGATCTAAATGCCAAAGTCGGAATAGACAACGCCGGATATGAAGATATCATTGGACGACATGGACTGGGAGAGAGAAACGAAAATGGAGAAAGATTTGCAAACCTGTGTGCATTCAACAAATTGGTCATGGACGGCACAGTATTTCCACACGAAGCTACATGGATCTCACCGGACCACACTACAGAGAACCAGATAGATCATATTTGTATCAATAAAAAATTCCGAAGGACAATGGAAGATGTGAGAACCAGGAGAGGAGCTGACATAGCTTCAGATCACCACCTAGTTGTGGCCAATTTAAAACTGAAGCTATTGAAAAACTGGACAACTGGACAGACAACACTACAGAGGTTCAATACAGCTTTCCTTCGAGATACTGACAAACTCAATCAATTCAAGATAGCTCTCAACAACAGGTTCCAAGCCTTACCAGATCTACTGAAGGAAGAAGAAACTACTATAGAGGACAACTGAAAAGGCATCAAAGAAGCATCAACTTCAACGTGTCACGATGTTCTGGGCCTAAAGAAGCATTATCATACGGAATGGATCTCTATGTAAACACTGGGCAGGATCAAAGAAAGGAAGAATAAGAAGACAGCAATTAACAACAGTCAAACACGAGGAGAGAAATTCCAAGCCAAGCTGAGTACATAGAAGCAAACAAGCAAGTGAAGAAGAGCATCAAAGTCAACAAGCAGAAATACGCAGAAAAACTAGCAACGACGGTGGAAAAATCTGCAAGAGAAGGAAATATGAAGCAGTTTTACGCTACAACGAAGAAACTAGCAGGGAAATATAGTAAACCAGAGAGACCGGTCAAAGACAAAGTAGGCAGACCAATCACTGAGATTCAACAACAGCGGGACAGATAGGTAGAGTAGTTCAAGGAAGTGGTGAATAGGCCGCCTACAATGAATCCACCGGAAATCAAAGCAGCACACACAAATCCTCCCACAGATGTCAATCCACCAACGACGGAAGAAATCAGAATGGCCATCAGACAAATGAAGAGCGAGAGAACAGCAGGACCCGACAATACAGTCTTGAGTGCTCGGAAAGGAAATTGGGTTAGGTACATTGACGACCTGAGAGCGTGACCGCAGTGCCCAAGGGACAACTGCTTGAGGTCGGTCACGCACGACCTTTTTATGAGTAATTTTTGTGTTAGCTCTGCACTTGTTGAGACATTACCGCCATACTCGGATATCCATGGGATAAAGCGAGATGTGCATTTTTAGGCTCGACCTTTTCTAACCCCACCCCTCCTTGTGGGAAGGCAGCATCGCTGTCATGCTGGTTGTCTGAATGAAACACCTTACTGATGTCACACCTCTGTACAGTCAGCAGTACGACTTCGCCTTCAGACCTTGGGTTTGTTACTTTTAGTCTTACCGCTCTTCAACCGACCTGACTGACATGGTAGTATCCGACAATATACCAGCTGAAGCACTGAAAACATACATCGAAGTAAATACAAGCATGCTTTACCTTCTATTCGAAAAGATTTGGGAGGAGGAACAAGTGCAGATGAACTGGATTGAAAAAACACCTCATCAAGATTCCAAGGAAAGGAGGTCTGTGCATTGCACTACTGTCAGTACCAGGAAAAGTGTTGCTGAACCGGGTGAAATATGCAGTAGACGCCCAACTTCGAGATCAGCAGGCTGCATTCCATAAGGATAGGTTGTGTATTGACCAAATTGCAACACTACGGATCATCGTCGAACAATCAGTTGAGTGGAACTCTTCAATGTACATCAACTTCATTGATTATGAAAAAACACTTGACAGTGTAGATAGGAGAAAATTATGGAAACTTTTTCGACTCTACGGAGTTCCTGAGAAGATTGCCAACATTATATGGAACTCATACGACGGACTACAGTGCAACGTAGTGCATGGAGGACAGCTTACAGACGCATTCCAAGTAAGGATCAGAGTCAGATAATGCTGTCTACTCTCTCCTTTCCTCTCTCGTGGTGGTCGACTGGATTATGAAGACCTCGACATCTGAGGGAAAACACGGAGTACAATGGACAGCTCAGAACCAATTAGATGATTTGGACTTCGCAGATGACCTTGCCCTCCTATCACATACACACGAATAGATGCAGACAAAGACAGCCAGTGTAGCAACAGTCTCTGCATCAGTAGGCCTCAGCATACACAAAGGGAAAACCAAGGTCCTCAAATTCAAAGCGGAAAACAACAATCCAATCACTCTTGATGGCGAAACAATGGAAGATGTAGAATCACTCACATACCCGGGAATCATAATCGATGAACAAGGAGGTTCAGATGCAGACGTAAAGGAGATGATTGTCACAGCAAGGGTCGCATTCCTACAATTGAAGAACATATGGAACTCAAAACAATTTTCAACCAATATCAAAGTGAGAAGCTTCAATACCAACGTCAAGGCAGTTCTAATGTATGGAGCTGAAACTTGGAGAACTACAACAACCACAATCAAGAAAGTACAAGTATTTATAAATGGTTGTCTACGCAAGATACTCAACATCCATTGGCCGGATACAATCAACAACAGCTTTCAATAGGAGATAACAAATCAGCTTCCAGCTGAAGAAGAAATTAGGAAAAGACGATGGAAATGGACAGGACATACATTATTCAAATCGTCAAACTGAATCTTGAGGTAAGCCCTAACTTGGAATCATGAAGGGAAGCGGAAAAGAGGAAGGCCAAAGGACACATTAAGTTGCGAAATAGAAGCAGATATGAAAACGATGAATTACAACTGGACGGAGCTAGAAAAGATTGCACAGGACAGGGTTGGATGGAGAATGCTGGTGAGCGGCCTATACTCCTTCACGAGGTGTAACAGGCGCATGTAAGTATACTCTGGGCTTCTATTTTTACTCGTGAATTGTGTATCTTGTATAACATGGCACAGTCTGTGTGTAGCATATCGATTAATTATCCAGTTTGGTGGTGTAATAAATAAAGACTTGGTTAGAATAATCCAGTTTACTATATTAAGCAAAATCAGACACTGCATTTATAAAGTATGAAAACATTTCATTGGATGCACCATTTCCTTAAATTATCTCTTACAAGTTCCATCGTTCTTTCATTCCTGCTGCTACTCGAACTGCTTCTACTTTTCTCTCTTTTCTTATTTTCCTCTTCTGTCAATAAGAATCCTACCTGCGATACTTGATTCATACTACTTATATCTTGTGGTGTCGGTTATTATTTTAAATCCATGTACCTTATTCTAGCTTTCGAACAGACCAATCTATTCATTCTACTTGAGTCATATTTTGACCTTAATAATTATTCGCTTATCCATCTTGGCTGATTTTTTATCAACGCATATATGTATGTACATTTCTTATCCTAATCATCACATGTTTGTAACTTATTTTTGTGTGACTATAAATATTGATCGACGCTTGACTAAAGTAAAGGGAGTTGGCTCACAAGCCTTCTCCACTGCGCGTCGTTCCGCTTCGCTTGTCCGATATTTTGTCTGGATCAAAGATTGTGTGAAATATACGTATTCGAAATTCATTCTCGTATTTGGCTTATTTAGTTCCGTTATTGACTAACTCAATTTAAATCAATGATTATATACGAAGATAGGCGACATATTTTAGTTGCCCGTGATCTGACTACAAGTAGTTCGTATAAATGATTGTTATTCAAATATATGTAATATGATATCAACCTCTAAAAGAAACTTCTAACTAAATTGATCGTTTTTCGAACACTGTAAATATAAGACTAGTCATTATCGTCAGTAGGAATAAATTATAGAGGGTAGTTAATAAAAAAAGGTTTTATCATATTTTTTCTCTCGTTTCTGATGTTGGTATGAAAAGTTTAGCTAATTTACTGACGTAAATATCCATGAATTTATTTGGACTTCTTCATGTGTCTTACCAACCAACCGATTTTCCAAAGAATCATGAAATTAAAATTAAATAGGAGGAGACATACTACTTATTAAATAATGGTTAATAAAACTAAAAGGTGTGTTTTCAAAGCTTTGTTTCGTATTTTAAATTTTCTCACAGGTTCATTATCCTTTGAGAATCATGATGATTCTGTCACTTACGGATTGTGTAATCTATATTTAAATGATAATTTAGAACAAATGACAAAACTTCGTGATGGTCAGATTTTGGAAACCTATTATGATAAACTAAATGAATGTATAAAAGATATGGAAGATTGTGGCGTACGGCTAAAGTCTATGGTTAGTGTTTTTGTTCTCTGATTGCTTTATTTTCGTCATAGTATTGCGTTTATTCTTTTTATTTATCGGTATGGTCCACATCACAATCCGTTGATCGTTTTCCAACCTATTGGATGACCCGAAAACACCACATTCCTGAATCATTTTTTACAGTTCCACTTAAAATTTTCACACTATTCATTGTTCAGTGATATATTCGTACTGTTTCTCAACTCCAACTCCAATAGGAAAAACGAAGGGACTTCTATTTTTCTCTTTCATACTACAACAACTAGAGTAAGGACTTCAGTTTCCTAATAGGAATTTTGCTAACAATTTGCTTACATCTTTCAGCTACTATCCCCATGTGTCTATTATCATGTATGCTTAATACTGCATTAAAGCTTACACATATATTCTTACTAGCTCAAATATTGGCCTATTCATACACTCGTTCTCTCTCGTTGGTATTGCCATCATGTGCGTAGTGGCTTTGTGATCTGTGCTGAACAATCGTAAGCTGTAGCCATTGCTTCGCATTGTTTTCTGAAATTTGTGTGCCATTGGGAGTTATCTAATAACGGTTTTTAGGACAAGTGATAAACGAAATTCCCCACTAAACTGTAAAACTAATACATCATTGTCCCTTATTTTGTTGTGCCTTTTTTGAAAACGCTCACCAATATTTACCAGTACACAATACAATAACAGAAAAGATACATAGGATATCCGTTTATTGACCTAGTAACTCATGTCTATTGTCCGAAACAAAATAGTGTGTTCGTTCTGCATTACTGAAGCTGCTGACCAAATAATTGTTAAAACGTTAAACTCTACAAAGCATAGTTCTACTTGTGGTGATATATAAGTCAAATAGATGATTTGTCAGAAGATCTAAAATATACCGTCAGTCTTGAATGATCAATAACTTTTGAAACGGAAGTCAATAAGTAGTTATCACATGATTTATGAACCTTTGCATATTGAATGATTTATGACAGTAAACATGAAATAGCCAGGTTTTTTAATCTATGATTTTTAGCGTTAGGAGTACGGTTAGAGTAAGAGAATACTTTGTTTTTATTAATGCACAGGTTACCCGTCCACGGGTTTTAAATCCCATGCACAAATCCTAAAGGTCGTCATCTGAACTGGGATCGAATTGGCACTGTAAGTTATTTCCATCATTGTCTAGTTGTATAATAATGATAATAAGCCATCTTTGTTTTATTATGTGTATGGTAATTTGTCGATGTCTTTTCACCGCTGATTTGTTTGATTAATGAGTTTTTGTTTAAATTTTTAGCTAGACCAATTGAATGCTTTGAGACAACTAAGTCAAAATGAATCAATTTACCAACAGTATGCCACATGCCAATCGACATTGGACTCATCCGTAAAAGTAAAAAGTGATTCTGCACTAGATGATAACAGTTTGTCTACTTTAAATTCGACTCGATCATATCCATTAACATCATTAAAACAACAAACACAACAACGGAAGTTCAGGGAGACTTACTTATGCGAAATATTGAACATTGAAATAAACGGACTAATCAAACAAATTGAACGTGATTCAAGCATTCGAAAATATTTAGTGAAAATTATATTACCTAGCACTTCACATTATTTTCAAGTGAATACTTTTGTTCAGGATAATGATGATGCTGTCCTAACAAAATTTGTGTCAATTTGGCGTCATTTTGGACAATATGTTTCATGGTTTACTGTTATATCAATGTCTGAGCATATTTTGAAAACTTTCAATAATACAAACTGAATGAATTCATATAGAATCATGTATATATTTATGCACCTTTTTTGTACCAGAAATGAGTATATTATTTTTGCTGTGTTGGACGTTTTTATTTCCACACCACATTCGATTGGTATGATTGTCATTAGAATATATTTGGACACAGTTTTCATCACAAGACAACAGTCCTCCATACGATACGCTACTGATTAATGTATGAAGTGCAGACATTCTCTAACAAAAATCAATGAAACCGAACTCTAAATTATGATCAGTAGGTTGAAAAAATTACTCCAATTTGACAGTGAACATCTGTAATGAAAATAACGGAGCGTTAGGATAAATTTGTACATAAATGCCCAATGAAAAATACCATGACTGTCAGTCAGTGAAGTCGAAGTGGATGTGTTGGTACGAGAGGAGACAAAAAGTAGCAGTAGCGATGTACATAGTCACCAAGATCCGTTGCAATTGATGATAGTGTACATCAGGAGGATCATCAGATGACTTTGCAATGGTCTCCAATTAACCCATACCCCGAGCTATATATTCACACACTTCGTGTTGATAAATGGAAACGTATTAAGGTCGTTTATGTTCGTCCGTAATGTGTTTCAATGAGAACTTCTGAATAAGAATGAGTGGAACTTCGTGTTGATTGTGTGCGATAGCATGGTTTGTTTACCAGGTCGGTTTGCAGTGATCACATGTTAGTTGTCGAATCAGGCCTTGTTGATTACCGATACTAGTATCTACCTACAAATCAGTGAGAAACTGAGGATACGGATTCTTTTCCTTGTTGCACACTAACGTGTGGTGTGGATTTGGCGATGATTTCTGACGTAGTTGATAGCGTGATTGTGGGCTTTACTTTACGATGGTTTGTTAGCTGTCTTCCACTCAAAATCGTTCACCACGCATGCAACATTGGCGTTGGTCTGGTGAGTACAGTATACATCCGCCGGTGATTATGATGCTTACGCTAGATATTGTAATGTGTTATGCTTACAGCACAGTGTAACTAATTAGGGTGTGTTCATAGATATCGAGATAAAGCCATCTTATTCTCATCTCACAGGTGGTGGTAGAATGATGGGAGTATTTATCGATTTGTGGTTAGATCGGTGGACGTGTTTTTTATTTGGAATTATTCGTTTGGCATCAGGGTAGGTGGTTAATGCAGTGTATAGTCTTCGTTGATTGTCCATCTAATATCATTATCTTCAAAGGCGGCTTGACAAAGGGTGATTGAATGCAGTTTCTTCTATTTGCTTGCCTCTACTTCTCCGCCATCTGTCCATTAACTTTTCTTTAGACATTTGAAATTCTATCATATCCACGTTTTATATTCGGACTATAGAACTTGTAGTACAAGATGGTCCAGCCTTTCTTAAAAAAAATACTTCTTCATGGTCTTCGAGAAGCAGTACATAAGACACTGAATGGTTTGTGTGCGAAAAATATCGAACCGATTCACTCTTTAGCATATGGTACACCTATTGTTATGCCATTGAAGTCGAATGGCAAGACCTCCAGAATATGTGGCGACTATAGATTAACGCTGAACACCCGTTTGTAGAACCAAACATGGATGACGGTGAAGTCCAAAGATATCCTAAATCGACTTCGTGATTTTAAAATGTTCTCAAAAAGTTGACTTAAGAGATGCTTGTCGTCAAATCTTTTTAGACCAATCCTTACCTATTGTGACGAGAATTAACACACCTTTTGGTCTGTTCAAATGCAACTTTCTCCCATTTGGTTTCAGTTCTCCAATTATATTTCCCCGACCGAAGCTGCTACCTTGACGCGGTGGTCGGGCTTGCCTATCGTGATGACCCAGCCGAGTTATATTAGCTGGAACATATGTTTCTGTAGGTTCTACCATGCCAGGAAGGTCGATTGGTGAACGGTAAGACTAAAAGCAGCAACTCAAGGTCTGAGGGCGAAGTCGTACTGCTGGCTGTAGAGGGGTGTGACAGCAGTAAGGTGTTTCCCTCGGACAACCAGCATCTGCAGCGATGCTGCCTTCCCACAAGGAGGGGTGGATTTAGAAAAGGTCGACCCTAAAAATGTCACACCTCATTTTACCTCACGGATTTCCGTCTCCGGCGGTAAGGTCCTTTGAAGAACGGAGCTAACACGTCAAAAACCTTCCACGATGGCGATTCCGTAATTGAAGGATGTTACCTGGTTATGCCACTTCTATGTGATTCTACGAATCCAGCTGCTTCTGTCGAGGAAGCTATATTGTGCGCACTACCAGGCAAATGAACCAACGAGTTAGCGAACAACTCTCTTCGTGGTTGGGAAAAGGTTACGTCAAAACAATACGCAGCTCGGTTCTATCACACTTGATCGATAGCGGTCATAAAGTGGACAGAAACAGGTCGTTCAAAGTTATTTATCGTATTCCCACTAGTTTTCCTTATGGTGTTCGATCTCATCTCTTATATATAGCAGAAGCTATAGGAATCCGAGCCAACAAGCAAAGTCTTTGTGTTCAGAAGAAATTTGTAACACCCTTATCTCTCCCCAGGCCCTAAGTAATAATTGAATTTATTTATTTATTCTTTTTCTAACTTTCTCTTTGTTTATTATTTTTCTTCACCCCCTCCTACCACTTTATTTTCTCTCAACTATACGTCTCATGGTCCAAGTATCTGAACATTTCTTATTACGTCATCTTATAATTTTATAATTGTTATATTAGTTTCTATATTTTTCTAATTATTGACCTATTTCCGATCATGTAACATTTATTTTAAACCTTTATTATTCTTATCAAAACGAATGCACCTGTTGTCACACCATCAATTTGTACTTTTCACGTTTCATTTATTATGTAATCGTTTTCATTGTTATCATTGACTTATGAACTACCTTGGTTGGTTTAGTAATTTCGTATATGCATATAAATATTACTGTATATCAGAGTAAAGCCTGATGAGGATCTAATCGAAAACAATATTGTTCGCTTATATATGTTGTTCTAACTGGGAATTGTTCACAGATGACTCACCGGAAACCATTAGTGATGCTATCACTTGTCACCTTAAATTCTGTGTTGATGTTTGTTGTCCCACTGAAACCATTTTTGTAAGTTTTGATCGACTTTCATCTTCAAAACTAAAACGACTACGGAGGGTGAAGGAAAGAATGTACAAGGAAAAAACTCTAATGAAGTTCGTAAGCTAAATGGTCTGATAAACCTAGAGATTAAACGTCAAAAGTCTATGTTTACTCAAAAACTCTTGTCTTGCCAAACTCTGCAAGTATATAGAAACTCTTTAAAGAACTTACAGGTGACTGACAGTTTAGAAGCCATAACCAGCTGAATGTTTGTGACTTAAATAAATATTTTGTACGTCAGTCATCTGATATGATGCTCCCTTTATCCACAGGTTTAAAGAATAGCTGTGTTCCTAGTCTCACTGAAACTGATGTCCGAAGATGTCTCCAGTCACTTAATTCATCCTGATGTTTGGGACCTGGCGGTATCCCAAACCTCATTTTTAAGAAATGTGTTGATATCCTGTGTTATCCATTCACGACTTTCTTTAACAGATCCTTCTAATCTAATCTCATACCGAAAATGTGGAGAATGATGAAGATAATCCCTGTACCAAAGAAAGTATCTGGTGATAGGAACGTGAAATTTAGACTTATTGCAATAACTTCACCCTTCCTCAAAACAATGGAAAAATTATTAATACTTCCACTTCGGCCTGCAATAAAAGAGCATAATGATCCGTATCGGTTTGCTTACAGATGCAAAGGAAGCACCTAAGATGCTGTTGCTGCTCTGCATTACAACATGGTGTTCAACTTAGAAAAAGGTAAGAAGTATGTTCGATGAGCTCTTCTGGACTATACTTCAGCTTTTGATTCTGTACCAAGACAATATCTAATTAACAGGTTAATCAGCGTCAACACTGACAGCTGGATAACCAACTGGAGGAAAGTGTTCAGAGTCTCTACTGTTTTTTGAAGGTGTATCACAAGGAGCTGTTCTTTCACCACTTTTTTATCTTTTTTTCTGCATGATCTGCCATTTTCTACAAAAAACACTTTTTTGAAATATGCGGATGAGCTCACTGTGTGTATGCTTATATCTTCCTCTTTATATCCCATAGAAGTGAATGAGTTTTGGCCTCGTATTGATTGTTAGTCTGTTGGTAATGGTCTCATACTTAATATGTCTAAATGTCAAGCTGTTAACTTTAGCATGAGGCATGGACGGAATCTAAACAACATTTTGAGATCCCGTAATGCTTGTACCATCGGAGACTCTTTGATAAAAACAGTGTCGATGGTCAATTTTCTCAGTGTTACCTTCTCCTCTGATCACTCTTCGTCTTCTCACGTTTTATTGTTATCGAAGAAGGTCTTCCATCTGACTTACTACATAAAGAGATTGCATGCTCTTGGGGTTACTCGTCATTTACTCTTACAATTTGTCAATTCTTGCATATTACCTATTATTACGTACTGTTCTCTATTATTCCTCCGGGTTTTTGAGGAGAGACTGCTGTATTGTGGAGAGTGGTGAAGGCAGTCAGCAAGATGTTTGATCAATCTTTCGAGGTCATAATTAATGTGGTTGTGGATAGACATCTAAAGTCATGCAAACTCCTGGTAGGTGTTATTTTATCAGATATTAACCATCCTCTTCACTCGTATCTTTCTCCTTGTATATATCTTTTGGCAGAACGAGACATAATTACATTAAAATCCATGCACGCAAGCAAAATTATAAAAGTTCTATAATACCTTACCTAGAAAATATACTCTGTGACGAATAGGTTGTTAGAGTTAACCTAGTCAATAAACTTCATTCTTAACATGTCTCTAATTTGAAAAGTTGTACAGTTTTTCGTTTTTTCATTTTTTGGTCTTTGTTTCTGTGCTTTTTTTGTGTAAAAATGTTGTTGAAATACCCCGTTCTGAGAATTCTATATTGTGCCAAAATATAATATTGAATAAAGCTATTAATAAATAAATATGCATTAAGGTTTGGGTGCTGTACTTCGATATCCCGTGGTTTTGGTGGGGCCGGTCTATCCAAGTGTCTTACTTATCTGTACCATCATTCCTCAATCTCAGTGATTGACTTGCCTTCCTTTTTATTTTTTGGTTGTTCTGGTTTATTATATATTACCTTCCAGCCTCTTACTTACTTACTTAAGTAAGTAAGTAGTATTTCCCCCCAGTTCCGTTGTGTCATAGATCTGTCTCATATTTCCTTCTTTCGCAACTTTTTCCGTTGTTGTCGCTATCTTTTCCATGTGTTTCCGCTTGCCGGCCCTAATACTTGTCTTCACTTGTTTATTTGTTTCTGTGTATTCATCTTATGTCTTCATTATCCCTGTTTTTGTTCGACTATTGTTGTCTGTCATCTATTTGTTCTTCCTTTCTTGAATCATGTCCAGGGTTTCGATGGAGATCCATTTGTTATGATGATGCCCAGAACCTTCTGACGAGTTGAAACTAGTGCTTACTTGACCCCTTTCCAGTTGTTCCCCATAGAATTCTCATCTTCTCTGAGTAGACCTTGTAAGACTTAGAACCTGATGATGAGAGTTATCTTGAATAGATTGAGTTTGTCAGTATTTCAAAGGAAAATTGCATCGAACCTTTGTGTTGCTGTTTATCCGGTTGTCAAATGCTTCTTTAACTTCAGTTTCATCTTGGACACAACCAGTTGATGTGAACTATGTCAGCTCATCCCCCAGTTCTCATGTCTTACAATGAAACCAAGTCTCCTGAAGGTCAAGGTAGCAGTGGCCTACGTTTCGGACTATTTTCACATTTGCTGGAATGGCTCCTGACCATTAATATAACTGTTAAACCAGAGAAAGCCAGTTTAGTTCGGAAAGTATCGTGAAATTGTTGGTTCTTTTTGTACTAGAGGATAATGACGTATGTCATGCGTATATGCGCATGATTATCCACGGATATTAACGTCCAGTATCATTTTTGCACTACGTATATAACAAGGATAATTTAATTACGATTACAATTTCAAGTGCTTAGTGCGATTTGAAGTCTTACGCTAACTGTAACAAAAATGCCTATTGAGCAAACCTTGTACTGGTAAAATTGAAGCGCATTTTTGGGCAGCATGACGAAGGAACTTTCCACATAACCTTCGACAATTTCGTTCGTCCTTATCTAGAGTACGGTAATATAGTATTTCCTCCCCCACTCTAAAAGGATAAGGGCACTGGAACGTATCCAATGGCGAGCCACGAAGTCAAATCCGAGACTCAAATTCAAGCCTTTGAAGAGCACCCCCAATCACTAAACCTTTACCCGTTAGATTGCAGGCGTCTTAGAAGTGACCTTTTAATTGCGTACAGCATCCTTAACACTTCTTCACATCCCCTTAAACACCTACTCAAGTTTAGCTTCAACAAAATCTAAGGGGTAAGACTCAGAGACTAGAAACAAAACTCAGGAGAACGGACTATAGACACAATTTCTACTCCTCAGGAGTGGTCAAGCGCTAGTCCAAGCGACTTCTCAGGAGTCTTTCAAGAGGAAACCTGACATATATTAAGGACTTGGGATAGTATTTTACTATGACTTACCAATTTCTTTCTCCTCATTTATCGTTAATATACCTATGTTCCTGCCTGGAGGTATTGGTAATCCACTAGCACTAGACATGGAGGCCCGTTAAGCGAAGGCTTCTTCTAATCCGTCCACAACCACTTGAACCATTCCAGGTCAAGAGAAATCTGAAGTAAAAACGTGTGAAAAAGCACCACGCCAACCCAAATAGCATTGAAAGCTTTTTGTATGAATTAGAGCCTATTATCTGGTACGACGAACGCAAGAGAAATTTAATGTATCAACACATGGAAACCACATTCTTTCATCAAACTGCGAGCTTGAGGTGATTTTGTAGTTCGTCCATAAAATGTATTCTCACTACGAAATTCTTTAAAGATGCTTGATAGTAGTGAGTTTCTGCTAAACATAGGGTTGAAATAAACTTCTAAAATTAATAATTACAAATAGTGGAAGTTTAAGTTGAAATCTCAATGTTTTTTAGCGGCAATACTACATTTGAGTTACCTAGAAGTTTGTGACGGCTTGTGATGTGTATATTATGTTCACATTGTAAAACTTAAATTTTTGGCCTTTACGGAGCTTTTAAATGAATTTCATACTGATAGGTATACCCACCTAGAGTTAATTAAGCTGTGAAAGTATTCAGGGATACTCGGTTATGTGTATACTATTATATTCGTATAAATTCTATCGTCTGGCTACATGGGTGCACAGTAGTTAGTAAAATTAACGTGTAAAATTTGTTTTTGGACACAGATTTCACCTACTTAGACATTTAATGAACACAGAAGTAGACATATCCAATCTCCCTATTGGGGGGGGGCGATAAATTGTTCATTTTGCGGAAATGATGCCAAACCTCTATAATTCACGACTTGGTGAGTGTAGGACAACCAGGAATTCTATAAACTTAAACCAACCTACGGCCCTGACTAATTCCATCCACTCAGAATAATGAAAAAGAATAGAGAGATTGCCATACTTCATGCTACTAAAAAACCATAGCAGTTGTTTTCCTAAACTGTATTTTGCAGTAGTAGGTTCGGGACAGTCAGTCATTCAGGGAGAAACACAATCCAGAAAGGTAGGACATTTGAACCAGGATTTAAGGTCGATCATTTCTTGGATACCTCTGTACGTCCAGTCAGCTGAGTTCTATGACGACCTTATATAACAACGTTGTCCAACTTTTGTGTATTGATGCATCACAAGGTGATTAGCCTAATGAGCACTATTGTGGAGATAGACTTGAATGGCTTATTTTGTAAATAGTTTTTAATATTAGTTGTTCTTATTTTGTCAATTTTTCACTGTATGTATATTTATCATCAAATGACTGTACCTGTTGTTTTAGTGAATGGCCTTGAACGCAATTTCCGTTGTATTACTGACATAGCGTGATGTACCCCCGTTTGCTAACAAATACATTGCCATACACACATACCTTGTTCTATCTTCACTTGTGATTGAGCTAACTGCATTCTAAATCAAACATTATCTGCATTTATAGACTGTGGGTCGGAATATATCATACCTAACATTGGTTTACATTACTGGAGAGTCCAACAACCAAACATTTATAATTGTGAATTTTCAGTATCAGACCCAATCCGAACACGCATCAACTTGGTGAACTTAAGTAAAGTCCCAATTTTTCTGTTGTATTTGTAACAATTAACATTATTATTTACTCTTAATAACTTGGTTAATATTTTTTTACGTTCATTTCTGTCTTGTCCACCACACTATACCGACTTTCAGTATTAATGTAATACAGCATGTTGGATCTGTACAGAAGTTCACTTCATAGAAAAAATTAGGAAGACCCTTTAAAACTTTATCCTCACAACACCGCTGTTCCCTTCCCAGGTCCCGGTATATTGACTTGTTTGATAGGTGCTACCCTAGGCTTGCTATACAACAAAACACTGGTGTTTCCTGCAAATAAATAACCCATGGGCAAGCAGCTGCTCCATAACTGATCTCCAAGTCATCACTGAATCGATTTAATTTCACCTTCGCGTCGGGTCTGTCAATTCTCTTCTTGATCTCCCGAGACACCTCTGGAAACATCAGCGCAATCAAAAACACTCAGCTCTATTTTAGGTAGTTGTATACCTACCATAACAGGCGCCAGTAGCTTTATGCTCTTCTCTAATATTTCAGGTTTCTGCTTCATGTCTAAACTACGATCTTTCATGTCATCTACTATCGAATCAGAACTAGCGTCACTATTATTGTAATTAACCCTATTTAAGTCTGAATCATATGACATAAGGGTATCAAAAGATACTATGTCAAAAGGGACTCGTCATTTGACTTGACTTTATTGACACCAATCAGATTCGAGCTTGACTTTCTTCAACGTACATAAGACGAAAGTTGAACTGTCGTTCAGTGCTCTACAATTAAAAAATAAACACTTCTCTTCTGCATTACAAAAGCAGTATCATAATATCCAGATTGTTAATGGTAGACACGCGGATGCCTTATGCTTTAGCAATCATGCAACCTGTGAATCCATAATGCAGCGTGAAACGTGCATTACTTACGAATGATAGTGTAAAAATGTTAGCTGAATCAGGAACAGTTAAGTCTGTGAACACTTGCGAAACCAACTAAAAATAAGATAAAGAATAGTATAAAGATAAATATTTACCAGCAACTAATAAAAAAATATTCGATTATAGATCGTACGTGCATTTAACTCATCCTTTTTTGTTCCATTATGCACGCTTATTCACTTTATCTCTTGCGTCGTGCATAAAGCCTGGCTCGCAATACCCATCGCGTGTGTTATTTGGTTTTCTGGACAGGCGGCACATTAGAACCGTAAACACATAACATCTATAAATATATATGGACTTATGTTAGTTTGCTGCGAATTGTTCTGTAGAATTTGTCACTACTTATACCAATTTTACTTTTAGTTTCACGTAAGGTATAAGTTATTGCTAGTTTGGGTGTCAACACTTGGGCTAGGCATGCTTTGGTTGAATTCCGAAGATCATCACATGCAATCTCGGATAATCTGGTCGCCTGAGATTTTATAAACAGCTTCGGTTTGCGCACCCGGGCAGTATCACAGCCCTCACACACATCAAATGAGATTTGTGTGGCGCATGCGGCTTATTTACCTGATGGGAGATTTCTAGCTGTGTTTAACAGCTCAATCGTCTCGAGGATCAGCAGGCATTTGGTAGAGCAGCATGTACTGCATAGCCAACGTAGTAGTGGTTTGCAATACCTTTAAAATGCAGTCGATGTGTCCTGTGCACACATGATACTACTTGTTGGGGGTATCATATTACATTCAATCCTCGACTAGAAAGAAACATGGGTTGCCGCACCGATGTTTTGTTGGGGCTATTTAATTTGTTAATTGGACACAGAGAACAAAGAAATTTGTCAGCACCGGAAATAGCAAAAGCAAAAATCATTTATGGATAATGTCCTGAAAATTCTAAAAATGATGGACACTGAACATCAAAAAGTTTTTTATGTCGTACTCAAAAAATGAGTACGGAAAACCTGCTATACAAGTGAACTGGTTGGTCCACTAAACGAGAGCCGCTTGATAAATCTTTTTTTCTGCACTGACAATATGAGTACAATCCAATGAACTAATGTTAAACTGACATTATCGAGTAGTCTATTACTAGTAGCTCAATATTTAGTTTAAGTAAGTATTAAAGTAGCTTTCACATTTTAGGACATAATCGAAATTCTATGATTTACTCAGCAAGGAAAAAGTACCACCTTTTATTAGGGGAAAATGACCCATGTAACAGGCATAGTCGTGTGAGCGAAAATATATCAAGTAGAGGGAAGTATGACAAGAACTGCTACAATGAGTAGATAAAAAGCATATGTTCTCAACCAGTTTGAATGTAATATATGGGAATATATTCATTGTCACTGAGAAACGTGTTCATCCCTCATAGGGTTCTGCAGTTAAATGGGATAAAAACTACGAGTTAAACTTTAAAAACTAGCATGGCAGAACTGGCAAACTATTATTTTCCTGGAATCTTCGTCCGGGCGGTTGTAAAGCGTTTTTGGTAGTTAAGACATGGTTATCATTTTTCTGAAAATGACAGTTAAAACAAGTCAATTATTAATAATGAAAGTGGCCGTGGAGTAATTCTTAAAGTAATCGCTCTTAGTCTCTACGGAAATAGAGTAAACATCGAGTTTTCTCGCGACTCTATAGAAGTTGCTGTTATTATTTTCTCTAGTAGGGACTTCTACTGTTTGCTGATCCTAACCACTGGAAAGCTTGCACAGATTTCTGTATGAGTTCGTTTATATTCTTTTTATAAATGGATATCCTCTTAGGTGTAATTTATTACTAAGATGAATCGTTGGTCTGTTATGGTGAAGAGGACCATGAGGAAATTATACATCTGAAAATTATTCCCCCTAATTCTTTTGTACTGCACAGGTTGGAAGCTTGGGATTTCCTGCAGATCTGCGTATGGATTTTTTTTAGTCAGAGCACCTTTGTAGTTGCTGTTCTTGGAACGCTTTCGAAACGAACACTATGCTTCTTAAAGTAGGAGGATAACGCAGAATTTTTCTCCAGATGAAGTTTGAAGTAAACACTGAAATTAGTTCTCAATGGTTCCGAGACTAGGTTTCCCAATGTTCTGGAAAGAAACTTAAGGACAGAATATGACTTGTTAGCTGGAGAATGCCAAAGGGAATGGAAATTGGGGTACCACACAGTGTTGTCCCAGTCATTTTACTATGGTAAGGTGTGTGATGCATCTATCACCCAAGAATTACTAGGTGGATAGAGTGTCTGTTGGCAATGGGAAGTCTCCAAATACAACTTGTGAGAAAAAAATTAATATCGATTCAAGCTGAATTTAGTGTGAATATTAAGTCAACTTTCAATACATTTTCTCATTACTTTGTAGGCATCCAATGTATTTTCACTATGATTTCTGTTCATTGACAATGTATTAGTTTATTAATTATGACCGATTTAATAGATATATAGATCATTAACCTAAATGTATTTTCTATTAGGAAGTTGAAGTTTTTACTCTAGTTAATGTTGCATGGAAGACACGAATAAAAGTATTTTCGTTCGTCATATTAACAACAGAGTTGACAATTAGTAGACCAGCACACGCATCTGTCAGTATCAACATTGTTCATCTTTAACATTCTAAATCTGTTGGTACTGGTAAGAAGGTGGTTTATGTTCCTCAGTTCGGGTTTTTCTGAAAAACTATGGTTTTCAATTATTGTTATTATTATAAAATTTAATGTTCTGCTTACTAGAACTAATCCTAGTTGCTGAGAATTGCATATTTTACGGAGTATATAGGACTAAACAAAACAGTTATTAGTAATATTACTATTAAAGCACCCCAAAATAGTTGCGTGTGATTTGTCATTCAAATTTTTTTCTGATCTAATATAATATTTGTTAATCTTTTCACTCATATCGTGAAAAGGAGCTTGTATAGTGAGACCGTAACTTTCCCCGGATCTTTTTTTACGGTGACAGTACCCATTACAAATTGATGAATGCAGTTAGGCATAGGAACCATGACAAGCCAGTGTTACTCCTCACATTCTTGTAAAGTTTACAGGTATGGACACTCCTTTTTGTGCCATTTTATATAGGATAAATCTAAGGACTTGCTTTAGTCGGATAATGTGAGCCCTAGCATATTTTAGTGACTTTTTCGAGTTATTATACATTAGTCTATCTGTCTTTGTCATCTGAAGCGCAAATTAATTGTTAACTATATAAGAAGTCTTAAGAATTTACTTCTGGGTCGTTATTGTTGAAGAATTTTCGAATAGTCTGATAGTTATTTTACTCCCGGGAGTAAAGTAGACATTCTTACATCACCTGTGTTCAGATTGTTTTATACTAAAGCTTACCATCTGACTTTACAATCTGTGGGTCGTTTGACAAGTCATTTCTTAAGAAATCATTTCATAGACGTATTATTTACTGGATCGAATCCTCCATAAGATTAAATAAAAATAAGAGTTCCACTACTTACAACAGTCTAGATGATAGACCGCAAAATCATATCGGTTAAACACTAATGAAAACATAATTTATATATGAAGGCCTTAATATATACTGGCATGTAACTAATGTGAAGTACAGTTGATTCCATGTTGAAATTTCTAATCTTTGAGTACGATTTATTTGTAAAACGCTTAGGCGTTCTTAAAATGATTTTCTGAATATATATAGTTATAACGCTCGCGATTTACTTCGTCTATTTTTATAACGGTTGGGTTTCCACGTTACACGTATGGGACGTTGATTTACTTTAAACGATTATCTACACCAGACCCCTCCCAGTGTCTACTCTACAGGACGTCAACACAACTAAGATCAAGAACATGTAATTAGTCTGACCACAACGTTAATATATTCCCACACCAAAACCCGTCACAATCCACAACAATGAACAAACAATAATAAGTGTGTTGCAATGATAAGAATAAAGGAATATATAACTTATCTGACACATGTCAGACTATCTACATGTCTGACTAAGCAGACAACCAATCATGATCATACTCGACCACACATCACCTCACTCACGAAGTTTGATCGTATGACTTTAGTTTTGGGTCTATTTAAAAAGATTTCGCTTGTTTTCGTTCCCTGGACGATCTTCGCCTTGCTTCTGGTTCCAGCTCATTTTTTCTCATTACAACTTGTAGTGACGGTGGGATATTAAATGTATCACATAATACTTCCATTGGTGAAGCTTTGGGTTTAGATGACTCAAACATTTTTTCTGTCTCGCAGTTGATTGGTGTGTCTAATAATTAGTGTATTTTCGACCATCACTTCATACAGTACGGCCCTACGTCTTTTTTTAATACATCCAAAAATCCATCTGTATTAAAAAAAGACGTAGGGCCGTACTGTATGAAGTGATGGTCGAAAATACACTAATTATTAGACACACCAATCAACTGCGAGACAGAAAAAATGTTTGAGTCATCTAAACCCAAAGCTTTACCAATGGAAGTATTATGTGATACATTTAATATCCCACCGTCACTACAAGTTGTAATGAGAAAAAATGAGCTGGAACCAGAAGCAAGGCGAAGATCGTCCAGGGAACGAAAACAAGCGAAATCTTTTTAAATAGACCCAAAACTAAAGTCATACGATCAAACTTCGTGAGTGAGGTGATGTGTGGTCGAGTATGATCATGATTGGTTGTCTGCTTAGTCAGACATGTAGATAGTCTGACATGTGTCAGATAAGTTATATATTCCTTTATTCTTATCATTGCAACACACTTATTATTGTTTGTTCATTGTTGTGGATTGTGACGGGTTTTGGTGTGGGAATATATTAACGTTGTGGTCAGACTAATTACATGTTCTTGATCTTAGTTGTGTTGACGTCCTGTAGAGTAGACACTGGGAGGGGTCTGGTGTAGATAATCGTTTAAAGTAAATCAACGTCCCATACGTGTAACGTGGAAACCCAACCGTTATAAAAATAGACGAAGTAAATCGCGAGCGTTATAACATTCATTCCCGTATGTTCTATAGAGTGAAGCATAAAATTAAAGTGTTCATAATACTAATTGTATATACTATATAGTGTAGCTGAATTTCATTTCTTTGCATTTTCCCAAATGTTGCAAACTTTCTAGTTGATTGGAAAGACACTCGACTCTGTATTGTTACATGTCTCCGTGACGTCATTATTCTGCGTGTTGATTTCTACAGTCTGGTATTTTAAGTGAAATTAAACATTTCTCTAAACAATAGTAGTTGGTCTAAATGAATTTGAACACTCTTCCTGTTCAATCGTTTATTTAGTTTTCAGTTTCATATTTTCCATTAACTTGCGTTTAAATATATTTTGTATATATTGGTTTGACATCGCAAAAGTTAGACTTCACACTTTCAGTGTATGGAAGAAAAAAGCAATTCAAGTGTTTCCGTGGCCTCCTTATCAAAAGATGTAAAGAGTTGGAAATATCGTAACAACCATTCCAAGTTTATCACCTCAACTCCGATTAATTGTCAAAATCATCGGAATATTTCATCCGTAAAACAGGTGAGACCTTGTAGTCGATTCTAAAAGCAGTGTTAAATAAATGTTTTGTCACTAAATGTGATTTATTAACCCCTTTACATCCTCGTTTAAGGGCGTATGTTGAGCTTTTTTCTGAGATGATAATAGATAGAGTTCTTCCAGAGGTGTCTAGCATTCATTTTTTAAGCTAATTCTGCGTAGTGCAGATCCGTGTACTTGATATCCAAACACACTCTAAGGGCAGAGAGGTTGTCAAGATTCTAATTCTTATGGAAAGCTGCATTGATAAGTAGCATCGTAACTACTCATTGATGTAATCGGCTCAACAATAACATGGAATGTTCAATAAGATTATTCAGATGCAACATTATGAATTAAAGTATGTAGAAGGAAAATATCCACTTGGTCTTTCAACAGCCTAAAGTGTTGGCACATGATTGAGACAGTATCTTATGCTATTTCAAAGTGACGTATCATCTTGAGTACATTTAAAGAGAGGAAAGTTCAAAAACCTGAAGGGTAGAAGGAGGTTTAGTATAAAATGCTATAATGATGAAATTGTTCGATGTCTATTTCAGGTCTGGTCTGGAAAACCGATACGTTGAGATCCAGGCATATCTAACTGACAATTCTGTAATGGAAAAAAATATGTGTTCTGAACCCCACTGGAAATAATATTGAGGTATGCAATGGTGAATAACTAAATCACTGTACTTTTCCCCAAATTTCAATGCTTATTCAATCAACATGCTAATTTCTGTTGTCGCTGAAATACGTCATGCATAACTCCACACTCAAGTTACAGCAGTAAAAAAAAAATTCATTTTGGTAATGAAATGATTTGAAGAAAATTCTCAAGTCAGCTAAAAATTTAAAGCTTAAATAAGATGATACACTGTTTAGGAAAAAAGTAGATAAGTCTCCAATTGCCGGTTTTATTCGCCTTACGTAAACCAAACACAAAGCTTACACTTCTGTGTACAAATCAAATCGCTAATGAGTGACTTTGACTTAACATGTGTGTATATTAAATTCAAATGACAAAAACAGAATTCTATTTTCGGTTTTTTTCTGTCATGTTTTCGATCTCTAAATGAACTACTAGTATGTATTGCTAAAATGCCCCATTCTAGAACTGAACACTCGTTCAATACTATTCAGTTTGGATTATCGTTTTGATTAATATAGGTGTCATTAAGAGAATAGCTGCATTAGATTTGTTAACTTCGTAGAACTGTCAAATTCTAAAACAATGTGTTGTTTATTCTTTTTTAATTTAACACTTAGGAATCGAAGATCTCGTTTTCAATAAATGAACGCCTAACAGATTTATTAAATAAAATTCTTCCTTTAAAAAAGAAATGGAGCACAAATTTCCATCAGTCATGTATTGTTTTCACAAATCTGGCTACAAATATTTGTAAAATCCTATCAGGTAAGTTCGAACACATAATTATTCCTTTTTGAATCATGCCTTTGTACTAGACGTAAGTATTCTTGTCCTAACCTAATTAAAATCTTTACAGTTTAAAAGTTTCCGATGTTTCCAGTAGGTTCTGACCGTTTTGACATGAGACTTCGTTTACGTCAATCCACATCAATATTCCTCGGAACCCGTGGTAGGAGTTCATGGGTTTGGCAGCCATATCTTCCCGATTCATCCTTAAATTAAGGTCATATTTAAGTTTTAAAATTATCGGTAAAATTGATGTGACTTACGTTGGCATCGTTTATCCCTTTATGACGTTACATTGGTCGCAAAAGTTCTGAGTAACTAGTTCTACATAAAGGCAACACTTTGCCTCATAGTTAGATTGAATAAAATCAAAAGCCACGCATCTTGCCTTTTTAAGTCGACAATGTGATCATATAGAGCCCTGACTACGATGTCGGAGAATTTCAAAATGGTATAATACTCAGCAAGTAACCTATAATAATCAGTGAAGATTTGATTAGCTACTGGATGTGAATGAACAAACAGTTTGTTAACTCCTTAAATATGTGATTTCTTTCCTATCATTGCTTTCTACTCTTTACTTGTTGAATGTAGACTGCTTGTGTGTTGAGTAAAATATACTGCAATCAATCATAGAGAAATGCCCAAGAAAGGACCTAACTATTCTGATGGGAGATCTAAATGCCAAAGTCGGAATAGACAACGCCGGATATGAAGATATCATTGGACGACATGGACTGGGAGAGAGAAACGAAAATGGAGAAAGATTTGCAAACCTGTGTGCATTCAACAAATTGGTCATGGACGGCACAGTATTTCCACACGAAGCTACATGGATCTCACCGGACCACACTACAGAGAACCAGATAGATCATATTTGTATCAATAAAAAATTCCGAAGGACAATGGAAGATGTGAGAACCAGGAGAGGAGCTGACATAGCTTCAGATCACCACCTAGTTGTGGCCAATTTAAAACTGAAGCTATTGAAAAACTGGACAACTGGACAGACAACACTACAGAGGTTCAATACAGCTTTCCTTCGAGATACTGACAAACTCAATCAATTCAAGATAGCTCTCAACAACAGGTTCCAAGCCTTACCAGATCTACTGAAGGAAGAAGAAACTACTATAGAGGACAACTGAAAAGGCATCAAAGAAGCATCAACTTCAACGTGTCACGATGTTCTGGGCCTAAAGAAGCATTATCATACGGAATGGATCTCTATGTAAACACTGGGCAGGATCAAAGAAAGGAAGAATAAGAAGACAGCAATTAACAACAGTCAAACACGAGGAGAGAAATTCCAAGCCAAGCTGAGTACATAGAAGCAAACAAGCAAGTGAAGAAGAGCATCAAAGTCAACAAGCAGAAATACGCAGAAAAACTAGCAACGACGGTGGAAAAATCTGCAAGAGAAGGAAATATGAAGCAGTTTTACGCTACAACGAAGAAACTAGCAGGGAAATATAGTAAACCAGAGAGACCGGTCAAAGACAAAGTAGGCAGACCAATCACTGAGATTCAACAACAGCGGGACAGATAGGTAGAGTAGTTCAAGGAAGTGGTGAATAGGCCGCCTACAATGAATCCACCGGAAATCAAAGCAGCACACACAAATCCTCCCACAGATGTCAATCCACCAACGACGGAAGAAATCAGAATGGCCATCAGACAAATGAAGAGCGAGAGAACAGCAGGACCCGACAATACAGTCTTGAGTGCTCGGAAAGGAAATTGGGTTAGGTACATTGACGACCTGAGAGCGTGACCGCAGTGCCCAAGGGACAACTGCTTGAGGTCGGTCACGCACGACCTTTTTATGAGTAATTTTTGTGTTAGCTCTGCACTTGTTGAGACATTACCGCCATACTCGGATATCCATGGGATAAAGCGAGATGTGCATTTTTAGGCTCGACCTTTTCTAACCCCACCCCTCCTTGTGGGAAGGCAGCATCGCTGTCATGCTGGTTGTCTGAATGAAACACCTTACTGATGTCACACCTCTGTACAGTCAGCAGTACGACTTCGCCTTCAGACCTTGGGTTTGTTACTTTTAGTCTTACCGCTCTTCAACCGACCTGACTGACATGGTAGTATCCGACAATATACCAGCTGAAGCACTGAAAACATACATCGAAGTAAATACAAGCATGCTTTACCTTCTATTCGAAAAGATTTGGGAGGAGGAACAAGTGCAGATGAACTGGATTGAAAAAACACCTCATCAAGATTCCAAGGAAAGGAGGTCTGTGCATTGCACTACTGTCAGTACCAGGAAAAGTGTTGCTGAACCGGGTGAAATATGCAGTAGACGCCCAACTTCGAGATCAGCAGGCTGCATTCCATAAGGATAGGTTGTGTATTGACCAAATTGCAACACTACGGATCATCGTCGAACAATCAGTTGAGTGGAGCTCTTCAATGTACATCAACTTCATTGATTATGAAAAAACACTTGACAGTGTAGATAGGAGAAAATTATGGAAACTTTTTCGACTCTACGGAGTTCCTGAGAAGATTGCCAACATTATATGGAACTCATACGACGGACTACAGTGCAACGTAGTGCATGGAGGACAGCTTACAGACGCATTCCAAGTAAGGATCAGAGTCAGATAATGCTGTCTACTCTCTCCTTTCCTCTCTCGTGGTGGTCGACTGGATTATGAAGACCTCGACATCTGAGGGAAAACACGGAGTACAATGGACAGCTCAGAACCAATTAGATGATTTGGACTTCGCAGATGACCTTGCCCTCCTATCACATACACACGAATAGATGCAGACAAAGACAGCCAGTGTAGCAACAGTCTCTGCATCAGTAGGCCTCAGCATACACAAAGGGAAAACCAAGGTCCTCAAATTCAAAGCGGAAAACAACAATCCAATCACTCTTGATGGCGAAACAATGGAAGATGTAGAATCACTCACATACCCGGGAATCATAATCGATGAACAAGGAGGTTCAGATGCAGACGTAAAGGAGATGATTGTCACAGCAAGGGTCGCATTCCTACAATTGAAGAACATATGGAACTCAAAACAATTTTCAACCAATATCAAAGTGAGAAGCTTCAATACCAACGTCAAGGCAGTTCTAATGTATGGAGCTGAAACTTGGAGAACTACAACAACCACAATCAAGAAAGTACAAGTATTTATAAATGGTTGTCTACGCAAGATACTCAACATCCATTGGCCGGATACAATCAACAACAGCTTTCAATAGGAGATAACAAATCAGCTTCCAGCTGAAGAAGAAATTAGGAAAAGACGATGGAAATGGACAGGACATACATTATTCAAATCGTCAAACTGAATCTTGAGGTAAGCCCTAACTTGGAATCATGAAGGGAAGCGGAAAAGAGGAAGGCCAAAGGACACATTAAGTTGCGAAATAGAAGCAGATATGAAAACGATGAATTACAACTGGACGGAGCTAGAAAAGATTGCACAGGACAGGGTTGGATGGAGAATGCTGGTGAGCGGCCTATACTCCTTCACGAGGTGTAACAGGCGCATGTAAGTATACTCTGGGCTTCTATTTTTACTCGTGAATTGTGTATCTTGTATAACATGGCACAGTCTGTGTGTAGCATATCGATTAATTATCCAGTTTGGTGGTGTAATAAATAAAGACTTGGTTAGAATAATCCAGTTTACTATATTAAGCAAAATCAGACACTGCATTTATAAAGTATGAAAACATTTCATTGGATGCACCATTTCCTTAAATTATCTCTTACAAGTTCCATCGTTCTTTCATTCCTGCTGCTACTCGAACTGCTTCTACTTTTCTCTCTTTTCTTATTTTCCTCTTCTGTCAATAAGAATCCTACCTGCGATACTTGATTCATACTACTTATATCTTGTGGTGTCGGTTATTATTTTAAATCCATGTACCTTATTCTAGCTTTCGAACAGACCAATCTATTCATTCTACTTGAGTCATATTTTGACCTTAATAATTATTCGCTTATCCATCTTGGCTGATTTTTTATCAACGCATATATGTATGTACATTTCTTATCCTAATCATCACATGTTTGTAACTTATTTTTGTGTGACTATAAATATTGATCGACGCTTGACTAAAGTAAAGGGAGTTGGCTCACAAGCCTTCTCCACTGCGCGTCGTTCCGCTTCGCTTGTCCGATATTTTGTCTGGATCAAAGATTGTGTGAAATATACGTATTCGAAATTCATTCTCGTATTTGGCTTATTTAGTTCCGTTATTGACTAACTCAATTTAAATCAATGATTATATACGAAGATAGGCGACATATTTTAGTTGCCCGTGATCTGACTACAAGTAGTTCGTATAAATGATTGTTATTCAAATATATGTAATATGATATCAACCTCTAAAAGAAACTTCTAACTAAATTGATCGTTTTTCGAACACTGTAAATATAAGACTAGTCATTATCGTCAGTAGGAATAAATTATAGAGGGTAGTTAATAAAAAAAGGTTTTATCATATTTTTTCTCTCGTTTCTGATGTTGGTATGAAAAGTTTAGCTAATTTACTGACGTAAATATCCATGAATTTATTTGGACTTCTTCATGTGTCTTACCAACCAACCGATTTTCCAAAGAATCATGAAATTAAAATTAAATAGGAGGAGACATACTACTTATTAAATAATGGTTAATAAAACTAAAAGGTGTGTTTTCAAAGCTTTGTTTCGTATTTTAAATTTTCTCACAGGTTCATTATCCTTTGAGAATCATGATGATTCTGTCACTTACGGATTGTGTAATCTATATTTAAATGATAATTTAGAACAAATGACAAAACTTCGTGATGGTCAGATTTTGGAAACCTATTATGATAAACTAAATGAATGTATAAAAGATATGGAAGATTGTGGCGTACGGCTAAAGTCTATGGTTAGTGTTTTTGTTCTCTGATTGCTTTATTTTCGTCATAGTATTGCGTTTATTCTTTTTATTTATCGGTATGGTCCACATCACAATCCGTTGATCGTTTTCCAACCTATTGGATGACCCGAAAACACCACATTCCTGAATCATTTTTTACAGTTCCACTTAAAATTTTCACACTATTCATTGTTCAGTGATATATTCGTACTGTTTCTCAACTCCAACTCCAATAGGAAAAACGAAGGGACTTCTATTTTTCTCTTTCATACTACAACAACTAGAGTAAGGACTTCAGTTTCCTAATAGGAATTTTGCTAACAATTTGCTTACATCTTTCAGCTACTATCCCCATGTGTCTATTATCATGTATGCTTAATACTGCATTAAAGCTTACACATATATTCTTACTAGCTCAAATATTGGCCTATTCATACACTCGTTCTCTCTCGTTGGTATTGCCATCATGTGCGTAGTGGCTTTGTGATCTGTGCTGAACAATCGTAAGCTGTAGCCATTGCTTCGCATTGTTTTCTGAAATTTGTGTGCCATTGGGAGTTATCTAATAACGGTTTTTAGGACAAGTGATAAACGAAATTCCCCACTAAACTGTAAAACTAATACATCATTGTCCCTTATTTTGTTGTGCCTTTTTTGAAAACGCTCACCAATATTTACCAGTACACAATACAATAACAGAAAAGATACATAGGATATCCGTTTATTGACCTAGTAACTCATGTCTATTGTCCGAAACAAAATAGTGTGTTCGTTCTGCATTACTGAAGCTGCTGACCAAATAATTGTTAAAACGTTAAACTCTACAAAGCATAGTTCTACTTGTGGTGATATATAAGTCAAATAGATGATTTGTCAGAAGATCTAAAATATACCGTCAGTCTTGAATGATCAATAACTTTTGAAACGGAAGTCAATAAGTAGTTATCACATGATTTATGAACCTTTGCATATTGAATGATTTATGACAGTAAACATGAAATAGCCAGGTTTTTTAATCTATGATTTTTAGCGTTAGGAGTACGGTTAGAGTAAGAGAATACTTTGTTTTTATTAATGCACAGGTTACCCGTCCACGGGTTTTAAATCCCATGCACAAATCCTAAAGGTCGTCATCTGAACTGGGATCGAATTGGCACTGTAAGTTATTTCCATCATTGTCTAGTTGTATAATAATGATAATAAGCCATCTTTGTTTTATTATGTGTATGGTAATTTGTCGATGTCTTTTCACCGCTGATTTGTTTGATTAATGAGTTTTTGTTTAAATTTTTAGCTAGACCAATTGAATGCTTTGAGACAACTAAGTCAAAATGAATCAATTTACCAACAGTATGCCACATGCCAATCGACATTGGACTCATCCGTAAAAGTAAAAAGTGATTCTGCACTAGATGATAACAGTTTGTCTACTTTAAATTCGACTCGATCATATCCATTAACATCATTAAAACAACAAACACAACAACGGAAGTTCAGGGAGACTTACTTATGCGAAATATTGAACATTGAAATAAACGGACTAATCAAACAAATTGAACGTGATTCAAGCATTCGAAAATATTTAGTGAAAATTATATTACCTAGCACTTCACATTATTTTCAAGTGAATACTTTTGTTCAGGATAATGATGATGCTGTCCTAACAAAATTTGTGTCAATTTGGCGTCATTTTGGACAATATGTTTCATGGTTTACTGTTATATCAATGTCTGAGCATATTTTGAAAACTTTCAATAATACAAACTGAATGAATTCATATAGAATCATGTATATATTTATGCACCTTTTTTGTACCAGAAATGAGTATATTATTTTTGCTGTGTTGGACGTTTTTATTTCCACACCACATTCGATTGGTATGATTGTCATTAGAATATATTTGGACACAGTTTTCATCACAAGACAACAGTCCTCCATACGATACGCTACTGATTAATGTATGAAGTGCAGACATTCTCTAACAAAAATCAATGAAACCGAACTCTAAATTATGATCAGTAGGTTGAAAAAATTACTCCAATTTGACAGTGAACATCTGTAATGAAAATAACGGAGCGTTAGGATAAATTTGTACATAAATGCCCAATGAAAAATACCATGACTGTCAGTCAGTGAAGTCGAAGTGGATGTGTTGGTACGAGAGGAGACAAAAAGTAGCAGTAGCGATGTACATAGTCACCAAGATCCGTTGCAATTGATGATAGTGTACATCAGGAGGATCATCAGATGACTTTGCAATGGTCTCCAATTAACCCATACCCCGAGCTATATATTCACACACTTCGTGTTGATAAATGGAAACGTATTAAGGTCGTTTATGTTCGTCCGTAATGTGTTTCAATGAGAACTTCTGAATAAGAATGAGTGGAACTTCGTGTTGATTGTGTGCGATAGCATGGTTTGTTTACCAGGTCGGTTTGCAGTGATCACATGTTAGTTGTCGAATCAGGCCTTGTTGATTACCGATACTAGTATCTACCTACAAATCAGTGAGAAACTGAGGATACGGATTCTTTTCCTTGTTGCACACTAACGTGTGGTGTGGATTTGGCGATGATTTCTGACGTAGTTGATAGCGTGATTGTGGGCTTTACTTTACGATGGTTTGTTAGCTGTCTTCCACTCAAAATCGTTCACCACGCATGCAACATTGGCGTTGGTCTGGTGAGTACAGTATACATCCGCCGGTGATTATGATGCTTACGCTAGATATTGTAATGTGTTATGCTTACAGCACAGCGTAACTAATTAGGGTGTGTTCATAGATATCGAGATAAAGCCATCTTATTCTCATCTCACAGGTGGTGGTAGAATGATGGGAGTATTTATCGATTTGTGGTTAGATCGGTGGACGTGTTTTTTATTTGGAATTATTCGTTTGGCATCAGGGTAGGTGGTTAATGCAGTGTATAGTCTTCGTTGATTGTCCATCTAATATCATTATCTTCAAAGGCGGCTTGACAAAGGGTGATTGAATGCAGTTTCTTCTATTTGCTTGCCTCTACTTCTCCGCCATCTGTCCATTAACTTTTCTTTAGACATTTGAAATTCTATCATATCCACGTTTTATATTCGGACTATAGAACTTGTAGTACAAGATGGTCCAGCCTTTCTTAAAAAAAATACTTCTTCATGGTCTTCGAGAAGCAGTACATAAGACACTGAATGGTTTGTGTGCGAAAAATATCGAACCGATTCACTCTTTAGCATATGGTACACCTATTGTTATGCCATTGAAGTCGAATGGCAAGACCTCCAGAATATGTGGCGACTATAGATTAACGCTGAACACCCGTTTGTAGAACCAAACATGGATGACGGTGAAGTCCAAAGATATCCTAAATCGACTTCGTGATTTTAAAATGTTCTCAAAAAGTTGACTTAAGAGATGCTTGTCGTCAAATCTTTTTAGACCAATCCTTACCTATTGTGACGAGAATTAACACACCTTTTGGTCTGTTCAAATGCAACTTTCTCCCATTTGGTTTTAGTTCTCCAATTATATTTCCCCGACCGAAGCTGCTACCTTGACGCGGTGGTCGGGCTTGCCTATCGTGATGACCCAGCCGAGTTATATTAGCTGGTACATATGTTTCTGTAGGTTCTACCATGCCAGGAAGGTCGATTGGTGAACGGTAAGACTAAAAGCAGCAACTCAAGGTCTGAGGGCGAAGTCGTACTGCTGGCTGTAGAGGGGTGTGACAGCAGTAAGGTGTTTCCCTCGGACAACCAGCATCTGCAGCGATGCTGCCTTCCCACAAGGAGGGGTGGATTTAGAAAAGGTCGACCCTAAAAATGTCACACCTCATTTTACCTCACGGATTTCCGTCTCCGGCGGTAAGGTCCTTTGAAGAACGGAGCTAACACGTCAAAAACCTTCCACGATGGCGATTCCGTAATTGAAGGATGTTACCTGGTTATGCCACTTCTATGTGATTCTACGAATCCAGCTGCTTCTGTCGAGGAAGCTATATTGTGCGCACTACCAGGCAAATGAACCAACGAGTTAGCGAACAACTCTCTTCGTGGTTGGGAAAAGGTTACGTCAAAACAATACGCAGCTCGGTTCTATCACACTTGATCGATAGCGGTCATAAAGTGGACAGAAACAGGTCGTTCAAAGTTATTTATCGTATTCCCACTAGTTTTCCTTATGGTGTTCGATCTCATCTCTTATATATAGCAGAAGCTATAGGAATCCGAGCCAACAAGCAAAGTCTTTGTGTTCAGAAGAAATTTGTAACACCCTTATCTCTCCCCAGGCCCTAAGTAATAATTGAATTTATTTATTTATTCTTTTTCTAACTTTCTCTTTGTTTATTATTTTTCTTCACCCCCTCCTACCACTTTATTTTCTCTCAACTATACGTCTCATGGTCCAAGTATCTGAACATTTCTTATTACGTCATCTTATAATTTTATAATTGTTATATTAGTTTCTATATTTTTCTAATTATTGACCTATTTCCGATCATGTAACATTTATTTTAAACCTTTATTATTCTTATCAAAACGAATGCACCTGTTGTCACACCATCAATTTGTACTTTTCACGTTTCATTTATTATGTAATCGTTTTCATTGTTATCATTGACTTATGAACTACCTTGGTTGGTTTAGTAATTTCGTATATGCATATAAATATTACTGTATATCAGAGTAAAGCCTGATGAGGATCTAATCGAAAACAATATTGTTCGCTTATATATGTTGTTCTAACTGGGAATTGTTCACAGATGACTCACCGGAAACCATTAGTGATGCTATCACTTGTCACCTTAAATTCTGTGTTGATGTTTGTTGTCCCACTGAAACCATTTTTGTAAGTTTTGATCGACTTTCATCTTCAAAACTAAAACGACTACGGAGGGTGAAGGAAAGAATGTACAAGGAAAAAACTCTAATGAAGTTCGTAAGCTAAATGGTCTGATAAACCTAGAGATTAAACGTCAAAAGTCTATGTTTACTCAAAAACTCTTGTCTTGCCAAACTCTGCAAGTATATAGAAACTCTTTAAAGAACTTACAGGTGACTGACAGTTTAGAAGCCATAACCAGCTGAATGTTTGTGACTTAAATAAATATTTTGTACGTCAGTCATCTGATATGATGCTCCCTTTATCCACAGGTTTAAAGAATAGCTGTGTTCCTAGTCTCACTGAAACTGATGTCCGAAGATGTCTCCAGTCACTTAATTCATCCTGATGTTTGGGACCTGGCGGTATCCCAAACCTCATTTTTAAGAAATGTGTTGATATCCTGTGTTATCCATTCACGACTTTCTTTAACAGATCCTTCTAATCTAATCTCATACCGAAAATGTGGAGAATGATGAAGATAATCCCTGTACCAAAGAAAGTATCTGGTGATAGGAACGTGAAATTTAGACTTATTGCAATAACTTCACCCTTCCTCAAAACAATGGAAAAATTATTAATACTTCCACTTCGGCCTGCAATAAAAGAGCATAATGATCCGTATCGGTTTGCTTACAGATGCAAAGGAAGCACCTAAGATGCTGTTGCTGCTCTGCATTACAACATGGTGTTCAACTTAGAAAAAGGTAAGAAGTATGTTCGATGAGCTCTTCTGGACTATACTTCAGCTTTTGATTCTGTACCAAGACAATATCTAATTAACAGGTTAATCAGCGTCAACACTGACAGCTGGATAACCAACTGGAGGAAAGTGTTCAGAGTCTCTACTGTTTTTTGAAGGTGTATCACAAGGAGCTGTTCTTTCACCACTTTTTTATCTTTTTTTCTGCATGATCTGCCATTTTCTACAAAAAACACTTTTTTGAAATATGCGGATGAGCTCACTGTGTGTATGCTTATATCTTCCTCTTTATATCCCATAGAAGTGAATGAGTTTTGGCCTCGTATTGATTGTTAGTCTGTTGGTAATGGTCTCATACTTAATATGTCTAAATGTCAAGCTGTTAACTTTAGCATGAGGCATGGACGGAATCTAAACAACATTTTGAGATCCCGTAATGCTTGTACCATCGGAGACTCTTTGATAAAAACAGTGTCGATGGTCAATTTTCTCAGTGTTACCTTCTCCTCTGATCACTCTTCGTCTTCTCACGTTTTATTGTTATCGAAGAAGGTCTTCCATCTGACTTACTACATAAAGAGATTGCATGCTCTTGGGGTTACTCGTCATTTACTCTTACAATTTGTCAATTCTTGCATATTACCTATTATTACGTACTGTTCTCTATTATTCCTCCGGGTTTTTGAGGAGAGACTGCTGTATTGTGGAGAGTGGTGAAGGCAGTCAGCAAGATGTTTGATCAATCTTTCGAGGTCATAATTAATGTGGTTGTGGATAGACATCTAAAGTCATGCAAACTCCTGGTAGGTGTTATTTTATCAGATATTAACCATCCTCTTCACTCGTATCTTTCTCCTTGTATATATCTTTTGGCAGAACGAGACATAATTACATTAAAATCCATGCACGCAAGCAAAATTATAAAAGTTCTATAATACCTTACCTAGAAAATATACTCTGTGACGAATAGGTTGTTAGAGTTAACCTAGTCAATAAACTTCATTCTTAACATGTCTCTAATTTGAAAAGTTGTACAGTTTTTCGTTTTTTCATTTTTTGGTCTTTGTTTCTGTGCTTTTTTTGTGTAAAAATGTTGTTGAAATACCCCGTTCTGAGAATTCTATATTGTGCCAAAATATAATATTGAATAAAGCTATTAATAAATAAATATGCATTAAGGTTTGGGTGCTGTACTTCGATATCCCGTGGTTTTGGTGGGGCCGGTCTATCCAAGTGTCTTACTTATCTGTACCATCATTCCT